AATTCAGATGCCATTATTCATACTCCTACAGCTACATATTCGCACTTTTACTCAATTTTGGAAGCGGCATATATTGAATCTTGACAAGTCCTTATGAATTAATTGTTATACGCTTCTAGTTTTGTATAATGTACCTTTCTATCATACCATAAAAATGTAATTAATTACTTACAACTTTAGGGAAAATGAATAGCCTATATAATTTTATTCTTCTAATAATTCATTCTGCTCAACTTTAGGTAGAATGCATTTTGAAATAGTAGATTGACGAAAAATGTGTAGTTAAAAATAAATGAATTTTTTTGAATAGCGTGTAATATTATTTTATTGAAAAATGCGTGGTCGAAAAAAGAGGGAAAAAATGTATTTTTTTTTAAAAAAAGGGGATCAAACAAGGTCTAAATGAAAATAATATTAAACAAAATTATTGAGTTTAATAAATGAAATAAAAAAATATATAATTATTAAATATCAGATAACAAAGCAGTTAAAATATCACACAGAGCGAGTGATGTAAGAGGGCAGGTTAGCGTATAAATTTGCAGATGAATTGAAAGAAAGAGTGGGGAAGCGTGCAAATGTAAGTGGAAGCTAATGATTCTTGAGCGACCAAGCATGTACATTTTGTTTAACAAAAGAATGATTTTGCACATAATTATTAGGTAGAAAAAGAGAAAGAGAAGGTTAAGGACGTAAAAATTAATTAATAATAAAAAGGTTTGATTAAAGAGGTTATTGTCCTACTCACCACCCGACAAATCAAGTTCAATTGCCGCTTTCTTGTCCCCCCACATCACGATGACAATCAATTGAGATCTGCTTCATGGCCAGGGCCACATGTGCCCTGGCCAACCAGATTTATTCCAATTACAATCCCCTCTCTTTGCACCCAGTCAACCCTTCCCATTTTTCTTTTCTTTCTTGGTCCTTCACTTTTACATTTATCTATTTCTGCCCCCACTCTAGTGTAACACTTTTTTGTTATTTTTTCTATAGGCAAGCTGCAAGTCAGCAAGTGGGATCTCTTTCATTTCCCAAGTTGCCCTCGTTTTCAGATTGTGGAGCCTATAGAAGTTGGTTTGAAAATCGGCATTTTCGTCATTTCACTCGCAGCCTGACTTAAATGCAATAGATTCAAGGGCAATTGATTTCGATACTCCTTTTGGCTAAACTAAAACATGGCTATCTTCCTTACTCGCGTGACATTATTGAGTAATCTGTTTTACATTTACATACATTTTGATATTCATCTCAAAACAATGTATGAGTTAAAGGTCATTAGACGAGAAATAATATATTCTCATAAATAATCATGAAAAAATGTTGACTTGCGAATTTCGAAGTTCGTGGTGACTTTAATTGAATCAATATGCTCATAGTAAATTATTTGAAATTAAATTGCATTATCAACATTTGTCCATGCTCTTAATTTTAAAAAGAAAGAAAAAAAAAGACCTTCCAAACATGTGAATTATTCCAAGTTGACACAAATCAAAAGAGTACAAAATGGGGTTATTTTCATGCTTAACCAAAAATAAGCAGATCCCTAACAGTGAACGGTGGCCTGCTGCCCTTTACCAAAATATCCAACAAATCTCAACTTTTTATTTATTTAATTTTTTCCGAACATTCATTCCAAAAGGTCAAAATACCATTTTTTTTTCCTTCAAACAAAAAGCACCAACAAAAAAAAAAAAAANAGCAATCGACACCAGCCGCTTGATTAGACAAGAATTTAAAAAGTACCCAACTTTTCTTCATAATTCTCTTTTAGCCCCCAAAAAATCGCTCTTTTTTTTCGTTTATTTTTTCCTTCCAAGCTTTGAGTTTCTTGGCAAAACAAAAGAGCTCTCTGATTACTTTTGATTTTAGCTTTCTGCTTAATGGAGGGACCTTAAAACTCCTCTCTCTGCTTTGCGTTTCGTACATTTCCTACAGTTATTCAAGCTCTAAATCGTCATCTCCTATTAACTTGTGCTGTTTCTACTACTCCCACTTTCAGGATTATTTTTCGGGTATGTGCTTTATTTTTTAACATTTTTGTTTGACTTCATAATTTTTTGAGTTGATGGAGCCAAACTGAGCTGGGATCTTGTAATTTGAGGGATTTTTTGTAGGTCACAACCACTGCTTGTTTATGTTTAGTTTTACATCTAGTATCCTGGATTTTTTTTCCATTTTATATTGTCTAAAATTTCTAAATTTGCCTCTTTGTTTTCTCCTTGAATTATCTGTGGGTTCATTTCTTATGGTTACGGTACTCCGAAAATCTGAGATACTGTCTGTTATTTTCCTTTATCTGATGATTCAGTATTTCTTTGACTAAAAATTTTTTAGAAATTATTTTTCTCCTAAAAATATGAGATTGGGTATGCATGTTTCACCTAATTATTAATAAGATTTCCTTTTGAAAAATTGAACCGGATTCTGAGTATGTCTTACATTTTTTTTTTTGGGTTGATATTATGATATATTGGGTGGCTTGATATTTTTTTTTTTTTCACAAATCACAAGTACTTACTTGGATCACGGGTTTTTTTGGCAAATTTGCCGAATTTATATTACTTTTTGACTAGGATTTATGGGTCGTTTAATAGTCCTAAAAACACACCTTCTTAGGAATTTTATCACAGTGGCCTGTAAAGGAGATTTTTTTTTTCGTGGACTCTGGATATTACAATTCTATGTTTTGGGATTTTATCCCTCTTATCAAAACTTTGTTGGTGCATGGGTTAAATATATATCTGAATTTGTTTGCTTTAGCAAGGGAAATCAACATAAACAATAAGTTGTTCTTAATGGCTCCTACAAGAAAATTCATGAAATGGAAGTTTATGACACTAAACTAGTATAATTTGTAGCAGGTCAACAGGCAATTTTACACTTTATTGATCTGATGTCTACACCGCTATTGGATGTTGATGGGGTTGGTCATGGTAATGCTACATTGATGTCATCTTCAGCATCTGTGGACTGTGTTTCCCAGAGTGGCTCGGGGTTGAAAGAATGCAATTTTCTGGGATTGTCTGATTGTTCTTCAGTGGACAGCTCGGCAGTCTCAAATGTGTCTGTGGAAAACAAGAACAATTTGAATTTGAAGGCCACAGAATTGAGGCTTGGTCTTCCTGGATCCCGATCCCCTGAACGAGATTCAGACTTTAGCCTGCTGACTTCAGGCAAGCTCGACGAGAAGCAGTTGTTTCCGTTGCTTCCTTCCAAGGATGGAATCTGTTCGTTGACACAGAAGTCCATTGTTTCTGGAAATAAAAGAGGATTCTCAGACACTGTGGACGGATTTTCTGAAATAAAAAGTTCTGTTTTTACTGAAGGAAAATGGATGTTCAATGCTACTGGTTCTGACTCTGGAACTCCTCAATCTGTTGTGGAGGCAAAGTTAGCTGGCAATGCCGGGTTAAATGTGATTCTCTCCAACAATTCATCTGGGGCTCAGCCATCCATGAAGAAAGAGGTGTCAACAAGAGCACCAAAGGAAGGCCATAACAAGATGAATGGTTCTAACAATAACAGCAGTGCACCTGCTGCTAAGTAAGTGCTTGAATCTCAATGGGCCGAACAAGGGAAAAAGATAATTATTCATAGGCGAAATCTTGTTTAAAAATCTGAGGCATGCAACTGTTAATTGAGTCTTTCACACTTTGCAGGGCTCAGGTGGTTGGTTGGCCACCAATCAGATCTTTCAGGAAGAATACTCTGTCCACAACCTCAAAGAACAATGACGAAGTTGATGGTAAACCTGGTCCTGGTGCTCTTTTTGTCAAGGTCAGCATGGATGGTGCTCCTTATTTGAGGAAGGTGGATCTCAGGACATATTCCACATATCAAGAACTTTCTTCTGCTCTTGAAAAAATGTTCATGTGCTTTACTATAAGTAAGCTTTTCTTCCTATCGAATCTTTTAACGCATTTAATATTTGGTTTATGAGATGCCGTAGGTATTTTTGTATTTTGGTTTCAGGAAAATGTGGATCCCAGGAAGCTCCAGATAGGGAAATGCTGGGTGAGAACAAGCTCAAGGATCTTTTGAATGGAGCAGACTATGTGCTAACATTCGAGGACAAGGATGGTGACTGGATGCTTGTTGGAGATGTTCCATGGGAGTGAGTTTCTTGTTCTACCTGCTTTGTTTTTGTGGTCATATTCCACTTTCTTCGTATATGCAATAACAGAGAGAATAGAAGCATGATAATGTCCTGTTCTACACCATAATAGTATTTATTATTTGATATACGAGGCCGTAAACATTTTACAAAATTTTGTGTGCTATATGTAATACTATCGACATTAACCAGTCTTAGAAATTACGTAAGAGACTTTGTATGAATCAGAAATTTGGCCTCCTTTGCCTAAGATGCTTGATAAATAAAGCCTTTTGTTTCCTCACTGTGCCTCGTTGCTTTTCATTTTCATTTTCTAGAAGTTCTCTGGTAAGATATTAGGTACATAAAATTGATATATACATCCCTGTTTCGGAATAGCCTAATAACCCTTTATCAATCTAAAAGCCCTACAAATTACCTCCAAAATACGGGGATAATTGATAGAAATTTTACAAACCAGAAAGAGGAGTTAGGTTGCCTTGTTCTCAACATTTATATGGTTAACAGGCGTCACAAACAGCAAAACTCATAACCATGGGATGTAATGCTAATCAACCATGAGCTTGGTGAATTGAGTCACATGTTAGACTAGAGCGTTTATAGGAACCTTGATGAAATGGATTCCTCTTCCCCCAAACACCATTTTCGCCCTTGTGTCTACGGTTCGATTTCCCTCCCTTTATTTAGAGTCTAATGATGTTGATATGCTATACCTGGCGATAAGTTTGTTACTTTTTTTCCCCACAAGTAATTATAAAAACCTTTTATTTTGCTGATTCGTCTGACTACAACAGAATTGGGAACGCATGTTACTTGATAGGGCTATTATACTCTGGGGTTCTCTTAAAGAATTTCCTTACTCTCTTGTTGAGATCATGTTTTGGCTGTCATTGGTGACTCCTCTCCCTTAACTGTTTGACCTCCTATTTCTCTTTATTTATGATTAGATAATCAAAGTGTGATACTGTAAATATTCTAATTCCTTTCTGAATGACAATATATGATACTGGCTAAGTGTTTGCTTTATGTTGGTTCAAGAGTTTGTTGAATTCCTCGTGCAAAGGTTTCTACAACTTGTCAGCTATTGAAAATGTTATCACAATGGATAAAATAGCTAAGAATTTATGACATCTAGGAGTTTTGGACTCCATCTTCCATGGTTCAATTCCTGGAATTTCTGTATCCGAAGCCCTTAATAGACAAGGACTGTGACATATCACTCTCCTTTTACTTTGTTGCATCCCAAAGTGAGGTGCAATTGACATATCTGAAAAGAATCTGCATGGAAAAAACATAGGGAATACAGTAGACATTTAAATTCAAATGAAATGTGAGCTAGTATTGATACTTTCTTAGATGATCTTAAATATGATACTTATTCAATTAGTACACTGAAATTCCTCGAAGCACTTGGATGATTTCCATTAATTCTGTCTGTCAACTTGCTTGATGATTACAGTAGGTGACAATTTTAAGAAATGTTAGGAGATTGTAGTGAACATTGTGCATGGCAATTTATTTTATTTTACTGAGATCTTTCCTATGCCTCTTCATGTTGCTCACAAGTGGTTCTGTTATAGGATGTTTATTGAATCATGCAAGAGGCTCAAAATTATGAAAGGCTCTGATGCTATTGGATTAGGTAAGCATTTTATTTCATGCCTGTTTGTTTACCGTTGTTCTAGAGTACTGATTAGTGATATTTGCTTCTTTTAAAGGCATGCTTGGTGCAAGTTTTCTTCTGTGAGATCCTTGCAACTTTTTCCTTGCATTTGTAAATGCAGCATAGGAGCTTCTTATTTTACACACCGACTGAAGTCATACGGACACAATTACTATAACAATTGGAGACGATATACATTGTGAATAGGGTATAAAAATAAGTCAACAGGCTTTTGCTTTTGGGGTCTTTCTTTGTTTTCTTCTTGTGGTTTGCTATAAAAAGTTTTGCTTTTTTTCCCCCTGAATTATTTGTATTTTAGGTTCAATTTTTTTTTATATTTCCTATATTTTAGAACTCAAATCGACTTAATTGGGATGTGTAAAGAACATTCCATGTGGTAATATATTGGAGGATTTGTCACTTCTGCAGGTTGACAAATTTTGGCTCGGAGTTATTATGTCAAACCAATTCAACTAAATACAGATCTTTAATTTTGTAGTGCCAGACCAAGAATAATAGTGCTCTTTTAGTTAGCCTGAATGCTTTCATTAGATTAAATACAATTTTATGTTTAATACGATCTTCTATATCAATGAAGAACTTAACATCTTAGTTTAACTGTAGAAACTTTTAACTATTTTAGATTTTGAACAAATTTGTTGTGAATAGCATGTGATGTTTGTGACATCTTTCATTTGGTTCATAGCTCCCAGGGCCATGGAGAAATCCAAGAACCAGAAGTAGCTTTCCACTGAAGGCGACTGCTTACTATATGCGCAGTCCAGAGTGGAAAAATCCAGTGGAGCAAAAGGATAACGGATGAAAATATGACGATCAAAAGAATGATTGCTTGAGGTGTACTTGGAGAATCCTTTTGGTGTTTGTGTTATTGAGTGCATTCTATGCCCTTGTCAATTTCTGTTTGTCTTTAAGATTTTTCGTTGGCTTCGTATTAATACTGAGAACAACGTTTGTGGAGTTCATATTTCTTTTATTGGAACCAATACTACCAAGTGCGTTGTATTTGGTGAATGTGTATGATACTTATTCGACATGTTTTGCAACTGCTGCATGTTCTGTAATTGTTGATTGTTTGTTATTTATATTTTGAAAGTTTTTCCTAGATTTTTAAAAATATTTTGTACAATATTAGGTGGATTGAATTCGACACGGCAATGTACAAGATAGTTTCTTTTTAATATTAGGGATACTTGTAACGTGGTCCCAATGGGGGGCTTTGCAGACTTTATTTTAATCTTCATGTTGTGTCAACCGCAGTTTCGAACCTTTCAAAAATTAGTACTTGGGGTCCAAATAGAGGATTTTTGTTACTTTGACTGTTAGTTGATCCATAAATTTGACTTTCATCAAATCTAATTTTTTTAAAGGATAAAATGGTTATTTTACATTATATACATAAAATAAGGTAAAAAGTTAGATTAAAAAAAAAATAAAAACACATAAACCCATCAAGCCATCATCTTTCCTATGCCCAGCACAACCTCCACTCACCCATCCCCATTCGACCAAATCAAAATCAGAAAATTGTTGCCCCTTCGGGGTGGTCGAGTTGGCGGAGATCAAATGTTATGAGTTCGAATCCTCTGCAAACACTTCCTTGGTCGAGCTCGTCGCACCGGATTTGCTTAGTGCGATTTACCTCTCCTGAGTGGTTTGCGGGTTACTGCACATGAAGCGGGATTTATTTAGTGTGCACTCACGGTGGTCGAGGCTCCGTTGGGAGGGTAGTGGCTGCGAGTTCCTACGTTAAAAAAAAAAAAAGATCAAAAAATTGTTGGAAAGACTTCAACAAACCCAAGTGGTGGTCAGTAATTCGACGCGAGCAAGGGAAAATTGCAACTTTTCAATTCCGATTTTAACACAACAACGGCAAATGACGAATCAATTTCACTTATTCTATCATTATTTTTTGTTTTCTATTTAGGCCCGTTCGATATGGATTAAAATTAGATTAAAATTGAAAAAATAACCGTTATTGTTGACTTTTATTAGACGAGTGAGACCCAATAATGACCATATTTTCAATTTTAATTGAATTTTAATCCCCTATCGAACGGGGCTTTAATCTATAACTTTCTGCCATTTTTTAGCGTGAATCCATGGTGGCTACCGCTAGCCAAAGCTACTACCATTTTGCTCAAAGTTTGACTTCAATTTTGATGATGTTGACGAGGGTTCGGGAATGGTGGTGGTTTCGGCCGATGGTTGAAGGTAGGGGAATGGGGGGACAGAAAGCTTCATTTTTTTCCAGCAAAAAGGGAATTGACTTAAACCAAGTAATATGAGAAATGGGTTTGTTGGAGTGTGAGGAAGAGGAAGGAAGAATTAAGGAGGATATATTTGCGGGAACAATGGCAAAGTCGGTGGAGGAGGGCGACGGTGGTGTTGGCAACTGTGGCAATGGCGAGGAGGGGTAAAACGGGGACCAATTGGTTTTGGGTTTAGGAGGAGGTGGGGTGTAGGGGTGGGTTTTTTTATTTTTAATTCAAAGTTACCAATTTACCTTTTAAAAATGGTTTAGATTTGGTCAAAGTCAAATTTATTGGGTCAACTAACGGTCAAACTAACATAAATTATTCATTTGGATCTCAAGTGCTAATTTTTGAAAGATTTGGGATTGTAGGTGGTATAAGGTGAAGGTTAAAGTAAAGTTTACGAAAAATTCAAAGGGTTGGAACCGTTGCTGCAATTATCCCTTAATTTTATTTAGTACTTTTTATTTCACACGATGGAACTTCATGCCGTTTGAAGCGATAAACATGACGAACACAAAGAACGATCTACAAAAACGTTGATTCACAAAAGAATACCTATACTGTGAATCTAAGAATTAAATAAACAAAACCAATAATAATAGGATAAAAGCTTGTGCCTTGCAGCCTTTGTATGAAAATGTAGTGTAGGAGAGGTTTTTGAGATTTAATTTATACAACAGATTGTCGGATAGCCATAATGGAGGATTGTTAATTGTCCTGAACCTTCTGCAAGCCGACAATTTCCCGTACCATCTCTTCTGTAATGACAAGGTACAGACAGAACTGTCCTGAACCCATACTGTTCTCTCCATGATGTACCAGTGTTGTCATTAAGCGATGCTGGTTGATTAACTATGGGCTCTAATCATTCTTTAGTTAGTTCAAACCTTAATCATCAAACCAACGAATTTTAACAATCGCATAAAAATAATGTTGTGGTGTTTTTTTCCCAGTTCAATCATGTAAATTCTACTGGCATTCAGTATTTGCTTTCTGTGTTAAAAGTATTATCTTCGACAAATCTTGCAGCTGTCATTGTAATTGAAAGATAGTGGTCTGAAATTTATCCTTAACATATTAGTGTTGTGGGCAGTGAAAACTTGAGCTTTTTCCTCGTTTTGATAACTATATGTACAGTTAATAAAATTGATTCCGAGGTTCCCGTGAGGTTGTTTAGTGAGATATGTTCTCATTGTGACAGAGAGTTCGCGCACAGAGGGTGCATTTGTACGGTGATTCAAGAAATTTAACTTAACAAACAATTTATAAATTTTGATTTTTCGATAAGTAAATCCGATCTTAGTCTTTCTGATTTCGTTGGTTCTTGGTTATAATCAGTTTAAATTAGTTTTATTGGGCCTATTGGCCGGCAAGGTATTTGGTGATTTTGACCGAGATGGTAGCAACATGATGCCCAACTTTTTACCTTAGGACAAATTCACTCAACTTGGTTTTGTCTCCATCTCCATCTCCATCTCCATCTCCATCTCATCTTGAAATATGTATTGTACTTGCTTTTTTGGTAGGACAGTGTACCGTCCAATCAAGTCTGGTAATCGATAGTGAACATGGCCTACACGTTTTGTTCCTTTGCAATTTACATAGTACATTTTGGTTGGAAAGTGGAGTAACTATAGGAATAGCTGTGATCATTGATTAATTGATGGATGGTTGGATTTTTGTTTATCAGAGGTGTTGGTACTATGATTATGTCATAAGAAAATCTCAGATACCTAAGCCATTTTTTATTTTCTGCTTCTTGTTTGCCACTTTCAACAAGCAATTACCTTCGACACTGTGCAACTCAAAATTGCCACAAAGTTCCTCCTTTCCAATGGTTCAACAACCTAATCAATATGACTATGTAATGGCAATAGTAGACTCGCATACTCGATTCTTGAAGTTCTAACTTGAGTAATGAATTCGAGCTTGTTCGCTATGCTCGTCCGTTATGTTCTTCAAAAAAAAAAAATAGAGTTGATCCATCTCAATAGTCGACATACATCATATAGGGGGTTAATACAATAAATAGTCATTAAACTTTGCTAAAAGTTCTCAGGAGGTCACTGAATTTCGAAACTACCCTAAATAGTCACTGAACTTTTCCAAAACTACCATAATTAATCACTCAATTTTGCAAAAAATTTCTAGGGGGTCACAATTTGCAAAGTTCCCTGACCTCTTAGAAAGTTTTAGCAAAGTTCAATGACTATTTAGGGTGATTTTGAAATTCAGTGACCTCCTAAGAACTTTTTTCAAAGTTCGGCGACTAATTAGAGAAGTTTTGAAATTCGGTGACCTCTTGGGAACTTTTAGCCAAGTTCGGTGATTATTTAGGATATTAACTCTCATATAGGCGTGTATTAGTTTCACTCGTCGTAAGTTTTCTATGAAGAAGAAAGCTATATTACAATCTTGGTCTCACGGTCACATTAACCTGTGCCTCACTAGAAAATGACCACTAAAATAATATGACGACCAAATATAGGTGTGGATTTCAAAACAGGGCAAGTAGTATGATCAAGCAAGTCTGTTATTATTGAGTCAAGTGCAGAATATAATTAAATTCCACACAGTTAAATCCATGTTTGGTTTAGCTAAAAAAATTGATAAAAATTTGAAGTCATAACAATAACAATTAATTTTAATCACACATTTCACGAGATCCATAATTTTTTATCAACTTTTTAATTACAAATTTCTTCAACTTTTATCAAAATCTGATTTTAACAAAAATAAAACAGACATGGACTAAACAAGAAAACGAAGTACGCAGTAAAAATCTTATACTATTTCATTATGTCAAGTTCAATGTCTCAAATGTGTGATAATATTTTCCAGAAAACGAACGCGTGATAATCTCGTTTTCTTGTAGATCCTTCATGTGGACAGCGATGTATAACAGTAAGGCATTTAATTTTGTTCATGTTCAAGAAATCAATTTAATGCTATCTTCTTGCTTTATATACGTGCCCTAAGCTGCCACATTTCATTGCTCAAGACCCTGCACAATTTTTTCCAAACTCTTCCTATCAAACCTGTCATGGCAAAGACACGTGGATCTACTTTTATCCATACCCTCTTGAAATAGACATCCTGCCAAATTTGTCCGCTGGAAAAATTAATATAAATAGAAATAGTTGATTAGGTTGGAAACTACTAAATTTGTTCATGGTATGCAATAATTAGGTAAAAAAGTGTGTTGTACTGGTTCAGAGAACCCAGGATTTGGTCTAGTTGAATGTTTGGTGACGCTAAGAAAAATTAATTATAAGTAAGTTTTAAAACAAATAGTAGTCGACTTTTTTTTTTAATCTCGTGTAATTTGTAATCCAAAGTGAGAGAAGCAATGAGTAGTTTACGAGGCTGTGAACGAGTTACTTTTCGATGAATCATAGAGAGACATCATAATAAATAATTTGGTCCCTAAAAGGCAGTGACAATATCATTTCTTTCTTTTGATTACAG